TGGGCCTTACGTTTATTCTGCCACTGTCTCTTGAAAGCCAAACCGGCCAACATAATCGCCTCCGACGATCCCACGGTACCGACACCAACGGCTGCTTCACCTTCACCAAGGGGCGCGTTGAAGAGACGCGCGATCATGTTGACACATCGGTTCTGAAGCTCAGTGGTGACAGGGTACTCGTCCATGTCGACGTAGTTCTTGTTGATGGACTCCATCATGAGCTTGTCACACTCTGGCTCCATCCATGTGGTCACAAAGGAAGCTAGGTTCAGCCTCGGGTTACCGTCGAGCATAAGCTCATCGTTGATGATTTGGTACGCTGCTTCCTTTGGGATTGAGTTCTCAGGCATCTCAAATCTGATGACCATACATTATTACATTATTAAGTCAAAACTACGAAAATATGAGACAAAGATAAAGAAACATAAGTGGTTTCAACTTGTTACCGTGGAAGAGAGTTGCGGACGTAACGAGAAGCAAAAGTTGAGTGGATTGAGACATCCGATTCAGAAGCTGTCTTAGACAAAACCATCTTCTTTGAATTCACTATCTCGAATTCTTAGAATTTTTGGGTTTGAAATGAACACGAGGGAAGTAGTGTTTTTGTATGTAGTTGGAGAATTAATAATGTTGTGTGGAATTAGAAGAAGATGAGTAAATGGTATATATAGTGGCGACAATGTAATGTGTCTCTTCGTTTCGTGGTTACAACGTGAAAGGAAGCATCATCGCTCGCTGGTCTTTGTTTATGTGCTCCTTTTTCTAACGTTTTCCTACTAATGACTTTTCCTTATTATAATAGTAATACCAATATTAAATACTTTTTAACGTTTTATTAATTTGAATCCACCTTTTCTCTCTTAGCCAACAAAAAAATAAATTAATACTTTAAATTACGATTTGCTTTTAAGAAAAAAAAAAACACTTTTATATGTTGCTTTTGTAGTGGATGTTTTTATTAATTATCATAATGAGTTTCTTTTACAACTCTTGGCTACGTACGGTATGCTGAGTGAATAATTCGCGTGATTTGATCAATTTCTCACTTTCAGTTATGTGAATAGGTACCAAATTCTTGATTCCTTTTATTTTGTTGTCAATGTTAATTTAGACCGTAAATAAGCTAGAACCCAAATTCGAACTTGTATTGGTATCAATACTAAAGGACATTTGACTTTTTCTGTTGTTGTAGAATTCTCGTACTATAATATTATTACAATCTCTAAGGTATAGAAGAAGTTCAAATAAACATCAAACCCATGGATTGACCAGAACAAATAAAGTCAGTGGGATTCATCAAACCTCCCACATGTTTAGACTATAGCTTTAGAATAGCCTTAGCTTTGGTTTAACTTCGTTGAATACTAGAACCGGCTATATAGCCCTAGCTAACTGGGTTGATAATGTTGAATACTAGCTACTCCAACTTTTAATTAAGCTTTTTCTATATATTTTTTTTTATCATACAAATATTTTAAAATTTAATTTCAAATCAAATGATAGAGTTTCCACTTTTTGGAATTCCCGTAAACTATTTCCCCTTTGCCCATGAAAATCATATGCAGGTTATTTTCAACAAACATCCAACTGTCTTTTGAAACTTTGATATATTTCGGGGAAAAAACAATAATAATTCAAGAACTGTAATTTTTTTTAATGAATACAGAAAACAAAATTTCATATATACATGTTCGTATTTCAAAAACTGGTTTCGATATAATAATTTGTTGTCTCTTATGATTATTTTTTTAGAAATTAAAAAATTAGACACACGTAACTTAATAACTGGTAAAACAAAAGAATTATTTTAAAAGTAGACATATCAGATCAGTCGCTCTCAAACGCGTTGTTGGTCAATGGGAACCGGCTAATTAATTAGAGACGCCATTCGACGAATCAGGTTATACCGGGAATTTCGGGTTATCGCCACCGGTTTACTTGTCTTAAAAGGTTCTTCCTCTTACCTTTCCCTTTAATTAATGCAACTCAAGAGTTTTGAAATAACCAATTGAAACATGCTCTGTGTTCGGTTTTGTACTAGTCAACCATTAGCGACCGGATCACATTTATTTTGTCCTAGTCAATAGTTACCAATTCAAACGAACAAGCTGAAAATTTGATTCAAACATATAACTAAAAAAAATTGAAAAAAAAATATAAATTCTGAAAAAAAATTATCACATGCATAAACTATTTTAGGAATGAGTTAAATGATATTCAGCTCAATCATTCTTCTATACATATACACAACTATTTGTACCCTACTAAGGAAAGAAAGCATTGCTTGTGGTATACGACTTATGGCGGCTGAGAAGTAACATCGTAGCACAATTCCAAGAGCTCATTTTCAAGATGGTTGATCGAGAGCTCGGTATAACATTATTACTTCAAGAAGACATCAGAGGCGCTGGCGAGAGCTAATGCTTCTTTTGCTTGGATAACCATATCCAGATCTTGTTTTAACTTTATTTGTAGGTTTTTTTTTTTTTGGTCATGGCTGCTCTTGTATAGGTATAAATATAATTACTCTTTTGTATAGTTTCAAACTTTTATTTTTAATGATATTTACATGTTTATCACACACACAAAATAACTTACACTAACAAACAACAAAACCTAATATTGATTTTGACTCTTGAAAATATATTATTTTAAGTTTTCACACTTATTGATTTTTGGGATTCTTTTATAATTTGTGTGGTGTTTTTCTCAATACTGAATTTAGCATTTCAATTATAAAAAATCATTTACTCCGTTTAACGTTTCAATAAAAAACATTTAAAAATAAAATAAAATTACAAAAGTCCATATATATAGAGATTATTGGCTAGGGCGTTAAAGAAGATATGTTTTGACTTTTGTTACGTGTTACTTTTCTCTATTTCATTTTAAGTGATGTTTAAGCTTATTACACATATTAAGTAAACTATTAGTTTTTCTTGTTTTTATAAAAACATTATTAATTAAAATAGATTGAATCCATCAGAAAATAAGATGTAAAATATGATTGGTCAAAAAGTATTATATATACATAAAAAGTTAGAAACATCACTTAAAATGAAACAATTTTTTTGGGATAAAACATGGATAATTTTCTGTTATTCAAAGTAATGGAGATTTTAGACTGGCCTAACATGGATAATTAAGAAACCCACCAATATTTGAAGCCCAATAGATGTTAATAATTAAAACGCATTCACAAAAACATATTTGTGTATTTGGTTTTATATTCCTGTTAAAAAATGGGTAGACTACTAATAAGAATGTGGTTTTGTCGTGGAAGACAGATTGATTTCACTGGAGCGTTCCAATTGTCTCCTCAAGTTGGGTTAATCTCTGAGGAGATCAGCTTCCTCTGTAGCAACGTTTCCTTCAATTTGCGGTTGGCTTGCACAAACGCTGAAACGCCATGCATAAAAATACAAGGCATATGATCCTTTGAGACATTTAAGGCATATAAGCTCATGCGAATACAGAGAAGAGATCAAAATTATCAGTCTGAAATTGCGACTTCTTTCACTTAAACAAAAGCAAAGCAAAGGCAGTTTACTACTAATGAGGGCGAGGGCGAATAGGCTTTGGTTTCTTCTTCACCGTTTCTTCTCTGATATGGTTTATTGGTTTTGTATTGAACACATGATCTTGGTTCCAAGCTTTCAAGTCTACCGTTCAACTACTATGAAGATGATAAAAAAGACGACTAAATGCTTACACAAACTAAAACTTTCTTATGCTTTTAGTCAACATAAAATTGAAGTTTAAATTTTGTATTAAACTATACAAAACCAACGAAAACGGCAACACTTTTGTACTTACAAAACAATGCAGTTCATACAAATTTTAATTATGGTAAGTATCCCTTTTGTGATATATTCCAGTAAGCTTAAGTACCACTACTATATACTCGCATTGTTCTCACTGCCGTAATGTTCATTAGTAGATTATTTTTCGTTTTTTTTGTTTTTTTCTAATAAACCATATGAGACATTGTCTCCTATATACTCTCATTTAAAAAACCATGCCATGTGACAATTCGAAATTCTTATCGATCGGTCAACACAAATTTCAAATTTCAAAAAACAAATATCCCATTTACAAGACAAATGAAAAAAAAAAAACAATTATTTGTACCCTACTAGGAAAAGTAACAGTTGATCAAGTTTTGTGGTTAACAACTTACGGCGGCAGCAAAATAACATTATGTACAATTCCAAGAGGCTTTAATCCACATGATCATTTTCAAGATGGTTGATCGAGAGCGCTCAGTAACATTATCATTCGAAGAAAACATCGGAGCTAGTTAACGCTCCTTTGGATTAGATAACTATTCCCAAATCTTTATTAACTTTAAATATAGTTTTTTTTTTTGCATGGCTGCTCTTTTATAGGTTACTCTTTTGTAGAACTTCAAACTTCATTTTTATATATTTACATGTTTAGGAGCAAAAAAAAAAAAACTTACCGTAACAAACAACAAAACCTATTATTGTAATTTTTAATCAATAATTTAACATTTCAATTAAAAAAGAAATTTACTCCGTATTGGTTATCGCCATTGATCACAATAACATGACAACAGCAACAAATTCAAAACCAACGGACTAATGAATAAATGATTGAATTTAAATTCTAATTGCATCTACTAATTCAGTTTTTAGATTACAAAGAGATGTATGCATACGTGTTTCTACAAAGGTCTATATATAGAGATTACTTGACTGGGACGTCAAAAAAGATATATGTTTTGACATTTACATTTTTCTGTTCATTCAAAGTTTTGGAGGTTTTAGACTGACCTAACATGGACAATTAAGAAAACCCACCAATAATATTTTAAGCCCAATAGATGTTAAATAATTGAAACGCATATTACTTTTTTTAGATACGTACAGTACTAGTAATAGTAATAAGAATGTGGTTCTGCGGTGACTGGCACTCACATCACACCACGACTTTGTGACTGCGAGAATCATTTTCTATTGGAAAAGCTTTTAAATCAGCTTTTGCGTGAAGATTATTGTTTATGTTCAAGCAAAAGTGAAAAAAAAAAGATGGGTTCCATTGATGAAGAAGTGTCATTGCTAGAAGTTGAAGAATCTCTTGTACAGGTTCAACCTCTTAGGTCTATCTGTGATTTTGATTATTTATTTACTTTTATTTTATTTTCAGTTGAATTGATTCATAGATTTATATAATTTCCTCGAGCTATATGTTTGCTCGAATTGATAAATTTCTCTTCAATTCCAACTTTTCTATTAGTCTCTTGAAATGCTTCAAACTGAAGTTAAAGTAAGCTTTTGACATATTCTCTTGTTCTCTGTAACTATTTGTTCACTCCAAAGTATGTTTTGAGATAAGTCACTGAAGATTTATGTCTGTTTTTTAATTATTATTGTTCTCATTATAGGAAGAGTTGAAATTGTATGCTGAAGATGGTTCAATAGATATTCGTGGAAACCCACCATTAAAGCAGAAAACAGGAAACTGGAAAGCTTGTCCATTCATTTTTGGTAAAAACTCTGTTTTTATTTCACTTGTAATACTTGTTGTCTTCTCTCATGTTCTGTCTTGAATCCTTTAATATATCTTTAAAAAAGTGGTATTTATGCTTTGGTGCAGCCAATGAATGCTGCGAACGATTGGCTTATTATGGCATTGCCAAGAATCTAATCACTTACTTCACAAATGAATTGCATGAGACAAATGTTGCTGCCGCTAGACACGTCATGACATGGCAAGGGACATGTTACATCACTCCTCTAGCTGGAGCTTTAATAGCTGATTCTTATTGGGGAAGATACTGGACTATTGTTTGTTTCTCTGCCATTTACTTTATCGTAAGCATTTGTGATAAGCTTTAGCTACCCTAGGATCAAGTCTTTCTGGTTATGTTCTTTGTTTGATGTTCTGTACTTTTTGACATGGTTTTTAGGGATTGGTTGTATTGACTCTCTCAGCTTCAGTTCCTGGTCTGAAGCCAGAGGAATGTATTGGCTCTCTTTGCCCACCAGCAACAACGGTTCAGTCCACCTTTTTATTTTCAGGGCTTTACCTTATCGCTCTTGGAACTGGAGGAATCAAACCATGTGTCTCATCCTTTGGTGCTGATCAGTTTGATAAGACTGATCCAAACGAACGAGTCAGAAAAGCTTCCTTCTTTAACTGGTTTTACTTCACCACCAACATTGGTTCGTTCGTTTCATCTACTTTTCTATTTTGGGTTCAAGAAAATTGCGGATGGGAATTAGGATTCTTGATACCAACCGTGTTCATGGGGCTTGCTACCATAAGTTTCTTCTTTGGCACGCCGCTTTATAGATTCCAGAAACCGAGAGGCAGCCCGATTACTAGAGTCTGCCAAGTTCTTGTAGCCGCATACCGTAAACCGAATCTCAAAGTCTCTGAAGAGAACAACACACTTTTGTTTGAAACATGTGATATGATGAACTCTTCAAATGATGGAAACTGCAAGATTGAGCACACGGACGGTTACAAGAAATTATTTTTCCCTCTCATTTCTTATTTTTGAATTGAGTAGATTAGACTATATTCATTGGTTAGTTAAATAAACTGTTTTTATATATCAATGTGCAGGTTTCTTGACAAAGCCGCAATTATATTAAAAGAAGAAGCGATAGCTGAACCTTTCATCGATCCGTGGAAGCTCTGTACCGTGACTCAAGTCGAAGAAGTTAAGATTCTGTTACGTTTGTTCCCTATTTGGGCCTCAGGCATCATCTTCTCAGTCCTCCATTCACAGATTTACACTCTCTTTGTTCAACAAGGACGGTCCATGAAGCGAAACATCGGGTCATTCGAGATCCCTCCAGCTACTCTCGGGATGTTCGACACAGCAAGTGTCCTTGTATTTGTCCCAATCTATGACCGCCTCATTGTTCCCTTTGTGAGACGTTTCACAGGCTTAGCAAAGGGATTCACTGAGCTACAACGAATGGGGATTGGACTCTTTGTCTCTGTCTTGAGCTTGACATCTGCAGCTATAGTTGAGACGGTTCGGTTACAGTTAGCCAGAGATCTTGATCTAGTGGGAAGTGGAGACACGGTTCCATTAACCATCTTTTGGCAAATCCCTCAGTACTTCCTTATGGGCACTGCTGGAGTTTTTTTCTTCGTTGGTCGGATAGAGTTTTTCTATGAGCAGTCTCCAGATTCAATGAGAAGCTTGTGTAGTGCTTGGGTTCTTCTCACTTCCACACTAGGGAACTACTCGAGCTCGATGATCATTACCCTTGTGGCGTATTTGAGCGGCAAAGATAGTTGGATTCCTTCAGACAACATTAACAAAGGCCATCTTGACTACTTCTTCTGGCTTTTGGTTTGTCTTGGATGTGTTAACATACCTGTTTTTATCTTCTTCTCTGTGAAGTACACTCACAAGAAGGTTTGATACTCTTCTTTCAAAATATTTGTCAAGCACAAAACATTATGTGGACCTTAATAACCTTTGTGTTACAAATTGAAACACTATGTGTCTAACAATAAAAGCGTGAAGATAGTCATGATCATAATGTTTATATTTGGTAACCCCGACTCACACTAATAAGGTACTTAAATTAAGTTTTTTCGCATAAAAACTATATAACTAACTACGCAGCTAAACTTTTATAATGCCACGGTTCGTAAATACTTGAGACAAAAAATTGAATATTTTCATTTTGTAATCAACTCACCTCGCACCAGACCATTTACATTCTGCCTCCTCTTCTATTTGAATGCAATGATGTTATCCCCACCAGAGTGAAGTCACTTAGCAAGATAAAATATAATGAGTTGCGTATGAGGTTTCATGTTCCTGTCTTACAATTACACATGGCTAAATAAGCTTACACTCTTTTATCACAGACCAGACCACAGCTTCAGACTACATCAATTAATCTGTCAGCTCCTTCATTTGGCCCTGTTCCAATTCACAAATCTCAACATTTAGAAACACTTTATCATCCAAAAGATGAACCATCTTAATTTTGGTATAGCAATTAGAAAACTGCTTCTGATTAACAAACAACCTTTTGGCATATACTATAAAAAAGACATCAAACTGGCAGACCAAACAAACCATCTGACTCTTCACACTTTCCTGGAAGAGCTCTAATGCTATTTCGCGAGGCAATACTTTCATAGTTTATGAAGTGCCCGCTATGTAATCTTCACACATCAACTCTAAACTTATTCACTAAACCTAGCATTTCTACTTGTATCACTATTCAGATTTTCTTTAGTATTGCTTTTCAGTTATATAGTTTATCTTTAGCCGTATTCTTTTTTTACTTTCTACTAAAACTTTTAGGGAAGGCTGTGACTAAGGTTCTATCTACATCTCTACAAATTTGAAAAAGGCTTTCGCATAAATTCTTTGTTTTTCTAAATTACAAAACCGCGGAAGATATAACGAAAAGACTGACCCGAGCAATGTAGGGTTCTGCATCAGTTCGTTTGAGGAAATGCATAGAATGACGGGCAAAATTTGTTGTTTTGTCACTCAGCACGATTCCTTCATCAATATCATCCAGAATTCTGACCTTGATGTAAGGATCTTTTGGAGGCACCATATCCTTGCAGAAATGGATCAAAAAAGGGACATTTAGTCGTTACAGTCCATCAGAAATAATCCAATAAAGTAATGTTAGGGTGGTGGAAAGAGGACGTACAACATTCAACTCAATTCCTACTTTTCCCATGTATGATTTAAGAGCTACGGAATGGTTCTTAAAGTAGTCTTTTTCCAGTGTAGTGAGCTTCCCTTGGATGTCAGAGGGAAGGTCGAGAAGTTCAAGGCCTACTCTCCATGCCAAATCCCGCACAATCTCTGCTCGGTTGTACCTAGATAGGGACACAAGTGGCAGCTATATATTAAGAAACTTTTTAAGTAATGGTGCAGAAGAATTTTGTTGAGTTGTTAAAAAAGAGAAGGTGGTTCTCTCACACATAAGCCATGAGGCAGCGCTTGTTCCGGATCAAAGAAAGGTGATGAATGAGTGCTCCATAGTGGTCAGCGTTTCTATTGTTCTGAACATCCAAACCTTCTTGTTGCATTTTCCTGAAAGTGGAAACGTCAATCAGAAGGAAGTCACTGGCGAAATGCACCAAGTGTGTAATATATAAATAATGTGGAAAAAAGTAGTACCTAATCAAGGACTGGATAAGATGGTGATTCTGGTCACATTCTTCAATTGTCTCGTCAAAGAGCTTGCTCTGTTAGAAAAAAACAAGCAGCAAGATCATCTCTTATTCTGCTCAATTTTCCAATGTCTAGCCTGATAATAGTTAGTTTTGTTTTTCGCGTTTCTTTGCAGAATTCAGATCTCAAAGGCTTAGCAAATTAAGACAACAATTAATAACAGCAGCAGATATCAAACAAAAGCTAAAACCATAAATACGTTTGAGATAAGTGGTAGAAAAAGGTTGGGAGAAGAAGAAGAAGAAAGAGGACTTACGTTAAAAGGTTTGAGCTGACCTTTCTCTCCGCTGGCAAAATCTTTCACCAGCTGATACCCTTTTCTCCCGTACATGGTGGGGCGGCTCTCTCTCTCTCTCTCTCTCTCTCTCTCTCTCTTGGGATTCACTTCTTTTGTGAAATTAGTTGGAGATCACAAATGAATATTTTAAGTAGAGATCAACAAGAAAGCAGGAACAACAAGAAAGCAAACAAGAGATGCAAGCAGTTTCATCATCACTACAAATCTGAAACAAGAACTCCCAAAACATGATTAGAATCTGAAACAAGAACTCCCAAATTATGATGTGTATATGTGACAAAGGTGACAAGATTACACGAGAGACGAGTGACGAGCATGTTAACAAGAAGAGTTGAGTTTAAAGGCCTGTGTGGTATGAGAGATCAATAAACGTAATCTGTACTTTGAATAAACAATGGGTAACAAGTAACAACACACTAACACGTCTGTGAAATCAAATGATTAGAATCTGAAACAAGAACTCCCAAAATCTGAAACAACAAAAAAATTAGCTAACTGTGATCAGATTCCATATGCTCACTGTGTGATAAAGAACAAACCAATCACAATGCAATCACTGTACTTTCACAATCTGATGAATACACAACACACTAAGCAACCAAATTAGACAAACGAAAACAGAACAACTAACTTAAGATTTGTTCTGTCACACCTAGACAAGCTAACAACAAGAAAGGTAAACAACAACAAAATTCTATCCCCAGCAGCTAAAAACAAAAAAAAGTTAAGCAGAGATCTATGGATTATTTTCATCGCTAATGTATCTGATTCATCGCTAATGTGTTCCTCAAAACTAATATAGAGCAAAGCATTGATCAACGAGACAAAAAAGCTAGCTAGTAACAATACCCTTTTGACTCTAATCCAACACGACGAAGCTGATGACAACTGAAGAACCCAACTCTAGATTCCGAACGTGTTTGCGGCTATTACAAATGTTCGATGAATTTTTTTGTTTCTTCAAATCTACCCCCTCTGTTATTCTTTATTACAATTTTAGACTTTTTAGTTATTACATGTGCTCCCATTTATTTTGGATTTTATTACATATATTTCTCATAGTTTTGATATTGCAATATTCCCCATAGTGCTTTTGATAAGGTTTGACTTAAATTGTTCTTGTGAGAGACTCATGATTGGTGAAGTAGTGAATTTGCTTATAACGTGAAGCCATATAACATATCAAAGACAATTATTAACGTATGTACTGACACGTGGCAGAGTTGCAAATCTGAAACACATGAGTTCAAAACTCAAAGGTAAGCAGCAGATGTGTTCCCCGACTGAACCGACTGTTCCAAGACGTTTGTCTCATCTGAGAGGCAAGGAGGAGGGTATACTTGACCCGAACTCGAACCATAAGCTTCCCAACAGAAAGACTCTGTCAAACCATCACCGTTTAGTGGTTCAAGATCAATGTCTTGTAGAAGTATGTTGCGGCAAGGTGAAGTATCGCTGCAAGAGATCTTGATTGCTTGTTTTGATGCTGAAGTTCCCCTCACGCCAACAAATGAGATGTTCTCAATGGTAACAGCTGTTGTCTGCAGTTTTATTTTTAATAAGTTTTAGACAGTTTCTCAGGTTCCATACTTAAGAAAGAAAAGGCACACATTCTCAACCTGATTCGCACACGGCTTCCGGGAATCACAGTAGTACTGATCGATGATAATGGGGTTGGACACATTGTTCATCTCGATATTCCTAAATATGATTTTTGAGACCAAACCACTTCCTCCCTGGTTAAAACTTAAAAGGAGTGAGCAAGCAAGCTAAGTTTTGTTTTAATTTCAGAAGGTGAAGTGAAGCTTTGATAAGATTGAAATCACCTGCCATGTTTTGATTCGAACACCATTCTCAGTGTCAGAAATGGAGGCCGTATCAACCACTATGTCTTTTACTTCTTCCCAAGATTTTGATTTTCCTAAACTTCCAATGCTAACAAAAGAAAAACCAAGTCTAATTTTAGATTATTATGCTTTTACCGGTTTGATATGATCTGTCTGGCTATAGTTTTACCTTATGCCATGGCCAGGACCACACACAAAGTTGCTGATGGAGATCTGTGACGAGTTTTTAACTATCGAGACACAGTCATCTCCTACTCAAAACAGAAGTGAATTAACCAACAATTAAGAGAGAGAAGAATAGATTCAAGGTCTGGTTAAGTAGACGAACCTGTGCTGACAGTGGTGTTGTCTATCACGATACCACGAGAGACGCTTATGTGAATACCATCTGTATTGGGACTCCTAGAAGGAGCTATGACCTTCAAACCAGAGATGGTCACACGGCGACAGCTGGTGAAGGCAATGTGCATTTGCTGACTATCAATCACGTTGATGTTTTCAAGTCTCATATTCTTGCACTTGTGGAATGTCAATGCCTAGACAAGGAACAGAGGAGTCTTACTTACTTTTGTATAAACACCAACAGAAGAAACTAATTAGGTTGCTTACCGTTGGAGCACCTTGACAAGGCTGCAAAAGAGAACAAGAGTGAGAATATTCTTTAATCTTTAGTAGAGTAACATATACACATAGAAAGAAAACAGTAAAGAATCAAGCAACTAACGTTGGAATGATTGTGTTTGCAAGATCTTCTCCACCATTCTTGGCCCATTCCATTAACAGTGCCGCCTCCTTCAACGGTCAAGCGGCTGAGGCCATGGAAGTAAAGCCATTTCCGGCGGTTAAGACCTTCCCAAGCATCTGGATCATCCGGAGCAATGATTGTACCAGAGATCTGATTGGCAAAAAAAAACCAATTAAAACAAAAAAAGTAGAAGAAGAAGAAGACGAGATTCTAAAAGATCGATCAGTGGAAGCTTTATATCACCTGCAGTGTGAGTCTGGCTTTACAAGGTCCAGAAAGATCAATGGGGCGGACGAGGGAAGTGTAATTTTCTGGCACCAAGATTCTGGTTTTGGCTTTGGAAGAACAAGCTGCCTTCCAAGCTTCTTCAAACGCCTGCGTTCCATTTTATCAACATTTTTTTTTTTTATCATTCCGACACAACACTTAACAGATCTCAACATTTAGAAGGAAAAGAGATTCATAGTGAAAAACTGAAAACGTTTCAGTTTCTTACACAACACAACACAACTACACGATGTCTGAGACACCAGAGAGGATGAGATCACAAAATAAAGCATCAATCAACAAAATGACCTCCTGCGCTGTCTGGTTTAAAGATTTGAATTTGGTAGATGGACAACCAGAGAGGCTTAATTAAAAAGATTGTTAATTTTGGGAATGTAAAGCAAGTTTCTTACTCACTTTAGTGTCGTCGGTGAAGCCATTGCCTTTGGCACCAAAATTGCCGACGTGAAGGACCCGTTCGGATCTGGGTCGGGTCGAGCGCCATTGTCTTCGTGGGAGCTGGAGGAGCGATTCGAAGGAATTCGCGTTTGCGGTCAGAGCGAGTGAGTATACAAAAACCAGTATTAAGAAGAAACGATTGAGTACAAAACTCATGGTTTTTCGCGTTAAATGTTTTTATTAGGATGACGAACCGAGACCGAGTCGTGGGTTTAAAGATTTTTACTATACAAGAAGAAGAAAATAAAGTTAGAACATTCCTTACTTAATTATACATATTCTTTTAAACATATATATGCAGAAAGAGTCTGCTATTTATAAACAAGAATTACAAATACAACAGATGCGTGCCATAATAGATAACCCTTTAGGGTATTACGAGGTTTTCTTAGTATTCGTGATTGTAGTGATTATGGTGAAATGACGTTGTGTTTAGCCACAGAGGAAAATGGCAAGCGAGCTGATTCAATTGTCACGAATGTAGTAATGACACTCTTTGAATATTTGTTTCCATACATTATTGATTGATATTTATAATGTAGGTAATCAGTCATTGTATGATCAAATATGTGTGCTGAGACTTTCAAGATTCGATGCTTTTTTGCTCGGCTCAACAAGACTACGAAAGATGAGCTTCCAGTTATGGTCAAACATTAAAAGCAAAGTTTCACTATTGGAGTTGTTCATTGTTACTAATATAAAAACGGCAACTCTAAAGCCTGTAGTGCTATCAGCGCGGAATTAAGCATATTATACAAGTTTTATTCTTTTCATTTTTATTTTATAGCATCATCTTTTTGATTGATCTCTTCTTCAAGTGTCTGATCTATTCATGCAAATGATTTTTTTCTTTAATGTTTTCAAGTCTTGCAGCAGTAAAGTGTCCCATGATATTAGGCTATTAGGTGAATCAGGAGAAAAGAGTGATTTATGGACCTTGAAGAGAGTAGGATTCACAATTTGGTAAAGTCCTTTCCTTGGGACTTCGGTTATCTCAGTTCGTAACTTTGGTTTTTATTAAGTTTTGAAAAACTTGTCGAATTAATCGAAATTTTTTTGGTTTGGTTATTTCGGCTTTTAGGTTAATTCAGTTTTAAAATTTTCAAAGTAAAATTAACTGAAATTTAGTATTTTAAAAAAAAATCTGAGTTTTCAGCTATTTAGGAATAATTTTGGTTTTTCAGTTATTCGGTTTCATTTAAAATATTTCAATTGTTTTGGATTCGGTTATTTCAAATAGTTTGGTTATTTTATGAATAAATTTTGGTTATATAGTTAAAATAAAAAAATAAAAATAAAAATCAAATATTTAACCGAGAACCGAAATATTCATTTTCCTGCCGATCGTTTCAACCGTCCGAACCAAACACCCAAAATATTGGTTCGTTTCAGTTATTTTGTTTCGGTTAAGAATCCCAGGCCCAGGTGAACCGTACAAACCGCACAAACCAGTTTTACTGGGGATGTCTGAAGTGGTCACAGTAAGTGAACAAATTATGCAAAAATGTTTATATTTGGTAACGATTTATGTATGTTTTGTTTGTAACGGTTATATAAAAAACATTATATTTTTTTGGGTTTCTTGATTACCGTGATGTAATCAACAACTTGAGACATGGACAAGTCCATCCACAATTCTATCTTACGTCATTAATAATACAGAAATCGTAAAAGATGATTTTAGTTTTAGTTACTTCTCTTCTTATGTCATCAAGTTTTGATTTTTATTTTCCAATAAAGTCGCCGGGAAAAGTAAAATATAAATAAAAAGCCGTCACGTCTTCCCGATAAAAGAGTATAGATAGATAGTTAGCTTTGACGTAAGGAATCTAAATTTAGTTTGGTAGCTCTCAGAGCGAAGACGATGGGTTCCATTGAAGAAGAACAAAGACCTTTCATCGAAGAAGGTTTAATTTTACAGGTTTGTTTAATTTTTGATTTTAGGTTAATCAATTTTGATTTCGCATGTTTGGGTTTTTGCTGAATTCCAAAAAAAATCTTGACTTTGGATTGATCTTATGCATATTCTTATCTGGGTTTATTGAGATAGTTTCTGGGTAATCGATCACTGTTTTATCTGATCTGAGTGTTCTTTGATCGTTTTATATTTTTAGTTGATGATTCCAATGTTTTGAATTTTGATCTAATTAGAGCTCGAATTCATTGTTTATGTGTGTTTTGTTTTGAACCAGGAAGCGAAATTGTATGCTGAAGATGGTTCTGTGGACTTTAATGGTAACCCACCATTGAAGGAGAAAACAGGGAACTGGAAAGCTTGTCCTTTTATTCTTGGTAATGAATGCTGTGAGAGGCTAGCTTACTATGGTATTGCTGGGAATTTAATTACTTACCTCACCACTAAGCTACACCAAGGAAACGTTGCTGCTGCTACAAACGTTACCACATGGCAAGGGACTTGTTATCTCACTCCTCTCATTGGAGCTGTCTTGGCCGATGCTTACTGGGGAAGATACTGGACCATCGCTTGTTTCTCCGGGATTTATTTCATCGTAAGCGTTTTTTTTCTTACGAAAACAACAAAGGCTTTGCAAGATTTTATGACTTTGTGATAAGCTAAGACATAGTTGGTGAAGACTTGGCTATAAGTCTACTCTGACCACAGTATGACTGATTTGAGCATATTATATAGTTGATTAGAGAGCAGTTAGTAAGCATGTGTATTAAAATCCTACTTTAATGGTTTCACAATCGATTTAGATTCTGATGTTTGGTTTGTTTGCTCTGAATACTGATTGGTGTTTGTTTTCCTTTAGGGGATGTCGGCGCTTACTCTTTCAGCTTCAGTCCCGGCATTGAAGCCAGCGGAATGCATTGGCGATTTTTGTCCATCAGCAACGCCAGCTCAGTACGCAATGTTCTTTAGCGGGCTTTACCTTATCGCCCTTGGTACTGGAGGTATCAAACCATGCGTCTCCTCCTTTGGTGCAGATCAGTTTGACGACACTGACTCGCGCGAACGAGTTAGAAAAGCTTCGTTCTTCAACTGGTTTTACTTCTCCATCAATATTGGAGCACTTGTGTCATCTAGTCTTCTAGTTTGGATTCAAGAGAATCGCGGGTGGGGTTTAGGGTTTGGGATACCAACTGTGTTCATGGGGCTCGCCATTGCAAGTTTCTTCTTTGGCACACCGCTTTATAGGTTTCAGAAGCCTGGAGGAAGCCCTATAACCCGGATTTCCCAAGTCGTGGTTGCATCATTCCGGAAATCATCTGTCAAAGTCCCTGAAGACCCCACGCTTTTGTATGAAACGCAAGACAAGAACTCTGCTATTGCTGGAAGTAGAAAAATCGAACATACCGATGATTGCAAGTATAAATTTTTAATTTGCTTCATTGTCTTTCCATGAACGTATAGTATTGCTTGGTTTGACAAGGTAATTGGTATGATGCAGGTATCTTGACAAAGCTGCAGTTATTTCAGAAGATGAATCAAAGTCTGGAGATTTTTCCAACACTTGGAGACTATGCACGGTTACGCAAGTCGAAGAACTTAAGATTCTGATTCGAATGTTCCCAATCTGGGCTTCTGGGATCATCTTCTCAGCTGTATACGCACAAATGTCCACAATGTTTGTTCAACAAGGCCGAGCCATGAACTGCAAAATCGGATCATTCCAGCTTCCCCCGGCAGCACTCGGGACATTCGACACTGCTAGTGTTATCATCTGGGTACCTCTCTATGACCGATTCATTGTTCCTTTAGCAAGGAGGTTCACAGGAGTAGACAAAGGATTTACCGAGATACAACGAATGGGAATTGGTCTATTTGTCTCTGTTCTCTGTATGGCGGCTGCAGCCATTGTCGAAATCATCCGTCTCCATATGGCCAGAGACCTCGGACTAGTAGAGTCTGGAGACCCAGTTCCCATATCCGTCTTATGGCAGATTCCGCAGTACTTCATTCTCGGTGCAGGTGAAGTGTTCTACTTCATCGGTCAGCTCGAATTCTTCTACGACCAATCTCCAGATGCAATGAGAAGCTTGTGCAGTGCCTTGGCTCTTTTGACCAATGCTCTTGGGAACTACTTGAGCTCATTGATCCTCACACTCGTGACTTATTTCACGACGATGGATGGCCAACAAGGTTGGATTTCGGATAATCTCAATTCAGGTCATCTGGATTACTTCTTCTGGCTTTTGGCTGGTCTTAGCCTTGTGAACATGGCGGTTTACTACTTCTCTGCTGTTAGGTACAAGCAGAAGAAGGCTTCGTAGTAATGTTTTTTTTTTCTCTCCTTTCATTACATACAAAGCTTGTTTCTTTCAACTGTATAACTGTCTGTGTCTGTTCTGTGATTTACCATAACATTGCTGTGTACTTTTTCTTCCAATTTCAAAAGTTTAAGTCGCATTTGCAATATTATACAGAATTCAGGGTCGGAAATACTAAATAGAGAGAAATTATATGAAGGCTTTGGGCCCATTAGTTATGGGCTTTTAAAATCAAATGAGCCCATAAAAATCGGGCACAATATGACCCGACACAAAAGAATCTGACTGTCTCCGGGTCAATCAAATCGGAGAAGTGAAAAGGGGAAAAAAGAATCAGAGAGTATTGTTGAGGTTTGGGGATCGAGAAAAATGGAGGTTCCAGGTTCATCGAAGAAGATGATCGCAACGCAGGAAGAGATGTCTGCAGCTAAAATACCACTCGGTTCGAGAGATCAGTGCGCTCATCTCTTGATTCCTCTCAACAAGTGTCGTCAGGCTGAGTTCTTCCTCCCGTGGAAATGCGAAGACGAGCGTCACGTTTACGAGAAGTGCGAGTACGAGCTTGTCATGGAGAGAATGCTCGCGATGAAGAAGATCCGTGAGGAAGAAGCTTTGGCTAAACAGAATAAAGTACAAGGGAACGGTGTTCCTCTTATCCCTAAAACTGCTAATGCTTAGCCCTCGATTCGATTCCTTCTCCGATTTGCCGATTTCAGGTGAGTTTACAGCGTTCAGTTTTAGGGTTTCGATTTCTTTTCTGGCTGATTTGATTGAATGGTTTGTTTCCCCTGCAACGTATCAGATCTTCGTGTTCTTCATCATTCGATTTAGGGTTTCGTTGGGAACAAATGAGATTGCTTGCTAGTTAGATTTCTAATGCGTTATCTTAGTTTTGAATTGTGAATTCTCCTAAGCAATTTTGGCATCTTGTGTGAACATTGACCACATCTGGATTCAATCTCTTGAAGACGTTTAGTTTAAACCACAATAACAATAGTTCTGTATCAACCTTTTTAGAGAAATGTTTGGATTTTTACTTCTTGTTATAAATCATCTCCATGATATCTGAAGTTTGGATAAGCATAATTCCATCATCATTGATTTGATTTAAGTGTGAGACAAAATTCAATTCGTTAGACTATATCTTTTATGTTTAAAACTTCGACTACTTGTTCTATGTTCTATGGACTTGTAGATAGTGACTCAGATACCATGGTTAGCAATTGTTATAGTCACTTTGCGTTACAGACCTCTAATAGGATATACAAGTATTTCACTGTTTAACTAGACACTAGACATATCTCAGTTCCTTAGACTATGTCTTTGATGTTTGATTTATGTTCTCACACTTCTAGGCTTTGAACTTCTTGTGCTTGATCTTTTGTGAACTTGTAAATTGTGTCTCAGATATTCATGGCTAAGAATTGGTACAGTCACCTTTTGTTTTATATAAATCTGTAAGAAGCATTGCAAAAATTACAGCACAAACTACTTACATGTGTCTGAACATCTTCTGCTTTGTTGATTCTGCAAGAGATACACTTGTTGATCTGGTGGATTTTATATACAGATATTTATGTCACAACAGCTACAGAAAGATTCTCCTGATGTCTCTCTCTCACCATCTAGTTCTCACTTGCCATTGAGTATTCTTGCATGCTTGTGTGATTCTTTCCTTTTTCATATCGTTCTTATGTATGTGTTCACTTCTTCGTTCATTGTATACACCACCACTATGATTTGACACCAACGAGTGTCTCTCTGTTCTTAAGACAGACCCCTAAATGTTTTTGTCCAAGATTCTCAACATTTCAATGATTTTGTTTCTCCTGATTTGATTCTATATTCATTCTTTCTTCTGAGTCCTAATTCACACTCTGAAAAATATATTTTGGACAGGGATTCTCTGGAACTGTGAAGAAGTTGGGGCTCTGCTTTTTCAATCTTTTTTTTTTTTCTTCTTGTTAGTGATGAAAAATTGTTTGCTACATTTTCAGATGTGAATGTTCAAGATTCTCTCCATCTTTTTTTTTTGTTTTTTCTCTTGTTACTCTGAGGGGGTTCCCAAAAAAATAAGATGCAAAACTCATCTTTGAGAAAGAAGAAACTTATAATTCTTTTGGCAAGTGAAAAAAGATCAACAAATCACTTCAATTGATAAGAACAAAATCATATACTACTTAATCGCTTAAATTGATAATAATATCTACACATACACACACACACACGTGGAATAAGAAAAATAGAAGAGGGTTTAGGTTACGAAAACATATCAAATCTATAATTCCAATACTTAAGGATGAAAAGTCAAAGAGTTGTTTGGTCCTACTTCCAATAATTATGCACTCACAGTCTCACACCACTCTAAACCTTTACACATAACCATGCAACGTCTCTATATCTATCCATGTGTATATTTTCTTTGTCTTGTGATTATATATTAGACCATCTCCATTGAGGAGTGTTTAACAAAAGTTGTTTATTTTAGTGAGAGAAAATTTATTAATTAAAAATAGTGTGGGTTGCTTAAATAGCTAAAAAAATATATTCAAAATTACTTATACAATAGATTTAAAAGACTTTTGAAACAATTTTTCACTAAATAAACAACCCATCAAATGAAATAATAATATTTTTATAATTTCAATAATAAACACTTCATGTTAAGCAACCATGATTAGAGATGCTCTTAGTTGTGTAATTTGTGTGTGGCCCAACCATTCCCAAATTACACACTTTTAAACAACTCTCTTTCACTTTTGTTGTTTTGTGTTTATTCTTTATATATAGGTGTGAAAGGCTAAATCTTCTATGTTCTCTCTAGGTGTTTCATGGATTACACCTTTTTATATTACCTTTTTTTAATCATCTTGGAATTCGCCTTTGTTCTTGCATGTGCTATTATTGAAGAGAAAAAATTGACCCGATGGAATTTTTTCTTATAATATTAACAATCGTCAAATCTATGGTTTGGTGAGATTTTCAAAATTTTCCACACAAGAAAAAAAAAAAGAAAAAGAGAATGTTATGGTTTTGTAGTCTAAAGCCAGTTGGGTTACATTATCTTACACAGATTTACATAATTATATAATAAAATTAAAAATTCCAAAAAAAAAGCAAAGAGAATTATTGAATGTTTTGATTGTGGTAAAAGCCATAAATCATGGACCTCCTCCACAGTCAATTTACTCATTCAATTTCTCTTGGAGCTATTTGTCTCTGCCAGAACTCATTTAATGTTTTGTTTTTTTCATTTTTTTCTTTTCATTATTTATTTATCACCGAATAAATAATATATAGTACTAACAATTTTGACACTTGAACATTAGGTTAGACTTTTCTTTATCCATCCATGGAAAATTTTGTTGAAATAGCCATTTTTCTGAACTATTTTTTTTTAAAAAATAGGTTTTATCACAATATCCTGAATACTTTAGTGTTTAATAAGTAAAAATATAAGCAAAGGCAGATTTTACAAAATTTAATTAATTGTCGTTGATTATTAATTAAAAGAAAAAATCGAGAACGAGAGACAAAGCATTTTCATAACCTCTAGCGCCCTTAACCATGCAAGTTCTAGATTTTAATCTCGATCCATTTGATAATCATAAGTGTATCAACTCAAGTACTTATTTATCTTATTTTGTTATTTTACAATACTCATCACAGCCACGAAAAAACTAAGCAGTAGATTTTGACCAGTTTAAACCAAAACGTTGATTGTGGTATATTTTGTTATTTTAATTCAAAATTGTTGTTGGTCGAAAATTCGAACAATGATCATTAGGATAATAGAATGTGTATATATATACTTGATTATATATTTTGATCAATGATATGACCTAGGTAAGCTTTTTGTATCATTCTTCTTAGTCAATATATAGATAATATACGCAACTCGTGTGACTCTCTTTGACAAGCTGGTGGTGGTGACTGAATATTATATTTTAATTACCGTCTAATCAAACACCTTTTTCTAAATCATTGTTTAAATTTTCTTAAGCTATTACAGCGAATTTTCGCATATATATATATATATATATATGCATAAAACATAAATTCCACGTTTTTGTAATAAATAATATATAGAAAATGTGCATTAATGAGAAGACAAAGGCAAATCAGTGTTGTAATATATTTGATTTTTAAAAGATAAAAGTAGTTAATTTTAAAAAGCTAATAATATATACTAAATGATTTGAAAAATATAAAATATATTTCGTTGATTATGAAAAAAGAAATGAATACGTGGTTAGAAAAATTGGAGAGGATAGGAGTAATAATTGTCGGCTACCATAGAGGGGTTATGATGGTTTTGATTCGTCTTCGATGTGCATCAGAGTCCAGACTGAGCAACAATGAGGAACAATAAGAATAAAAAGTGTTATTAGACCCAGAGAGCCAAGAGTATGGGGACAAAACTTTAAAAAATTTATTTATACATTTTTATCCAACCATTATTACTTAATTAATAGGTAAAAGAGAAAAAAAAATGAATGGGAAATTGGAGAAAATATAAAAACAAAAGGGAATTTTGGTGGAATGAAGTCAAAATGGTGGTCCAAAAGACAAAACAAAGGACCATTTGTAAAATTTTCTTTGTGATTTATTGAAATCAGAAAGTTAAACACGAAACCCTAAAAAAACAAAAAAATGAGAAGGAAAGAAAAAAACAATAATTATGCTATGGTCAAAGCTAAGCAGTTGGGCTATTTTAGAATTTTTATCTTTTTTACTTTGGCTAAAACTTATGGTGAAAAAAAAGAGAGAAACTTTGTGTTGTACAAGAAACTTTTCTTCATTTTGGGTAAATCCCAAATTCCCCTAGCTATAACTATTATAAGGTGAATAAATCATATAAAAATTGATTATTTTATGAGAAATATACAAATAAGTTTTAACAAAGGTATTATTTTTGCATGCAAGTTTGTAGATATAAAGCCTTGCGTAGATATGCAATGATTTCTCTTTTAAAAAAAATACATATTTTAAGATGATAATGAATGAATGAATGAGTGATATGGGGTCAAGAGTCAAGACTAATGTAACCAAAGTCAAATTGTGATTTTTTCGTATGATTACCACTTTTATGGATTAATCTCTTATATTATATCCTTTTTGTTTGTTAGGTCAAAAACACATGTCACATCTCTCTCCCTCTCTCTCTATTGTTGAATTAACAACAACATTCCAGCTTGTATTATATAGAAATTCTTCTTTCTATATATATTTTTGCTTACTCTAATTATTGAAATAAGTGACGATCCACAAACCATATCAATTATGAATATATTTTGACTTTACGATATAGTTTTACGTATCATTCATCAAACCTTACGTCACATATGTCATTGAACAGTTCATAAACAAAACAATTATAAACCCATATCGTATATGTAATGTAACCAAACCTGTATACGAAACTATATAATATAAACTGATTCAAGCTCAACTTAAACTTAAGAATTGATATAGAGCTAGCTAATTTCCATTTAAAGTGAATTTAACTTAGATTATTTGTAACTTAAAAACCAACCTATATATCAGATTAAAAATCCAAAAATTAAATAAAACACAACTAGCTACAATGGAATATCCGGGAAACAAAGAAAAATGAAAAAAAAATAAAGTATAATAATCATGAAAATTTGGAATTATGCAAAAAAAAAAATATATATATATGTATAGAGAGTTATTTTTTTTGATATATAAGAAAGAGAGTGAATCCAAAAGAGACAAAGAGAATAGATGGAAAAAAAGACAGTCATCTTTTAGAAAGCGCCAAAAACAAATCAGAAAAACACACAAAGAAGAAGAAAATTAAAAACAAAAACTTACTCTTTTTTTTATTAATCCCAAAACACCCACACACCTCTCAATTCCTCTCTTCTCTTCTGTCTCCTCTTCTCCTTCTCTTCTCCCTTTAGGGTTCTTCTTCTTCTTCGTTTTCTCTTTCTTCTTCGTAAAAACCAAAACTTTCTTCTTGGGTCTAAGGAAAAATCCAAACTTTTCAAGTTTCGTGGGTCTGTAAAAATGGGTAGATGTGGTGGTGGGAGAAACGGCAACGGAAACGGGAACGGAAACTTTACCGGAGTTGGATTTAACGGTAACGGTGGCGGTGGTGGTGGTGTTAGGCCTTACGTACGGTCTCCTGTTCCACGGCTTAGATGGACTCCGGATCTTCACCGTTGTTTCGTTAACGCCGTCGAGATTCTCGGTGGTCAACACCGTAAGTTACTTTTATATATTACTACACTCTCTAATCTAATCTTTGTTTTGATTCGTATATCTTAAAAGTTACGATTCTTTTTGTGTTTTGGATAGTTTCTCGACAAAAAAAAGATTGAAGTTAATTTTCTCATGTTTTGTCTCATATCATCCTCATCATCCGTAATTTGAAGCAAGTCTTCACACGTTTTGCTACTCTTGTTTCATTCTTATCCTAAACTTTGAATTTTTTTTGCTCATTGTTTATTATCTTCATCATCATCGTCAAGTTTTGTTTAAAGCCAACACGCTTTTTGCTATTTTGTTTCATTCAGATATATATAAAATAAAGTTTGTTTTTTCATGGGAAAAAAGTAATATTTATCATAAAAGAAGGAATCATCATTAGTGACCTTTTTGATTAAATTTGGTTGGGTATGATGAAACACAGGAGCAACACCAAAACTTGTTCTTAAGATGATGGATGTGAAGGGTCTCACCATTTCACATGTCAAAAGCCATCTTCAGGTTCCAACTTTACCAAACATCATCAAATCCTTTTTGTTTTATTCTTACTTACTTAGCTTAGTCGACATGTTTCGTATATTCCATCATACCTTGAATACTAATCACACTGTTTTTTGTATTCATAATATTATTATTACAGATGTATAGAGGATCTAAGCTCACTTTGGGGAAACCAGGTAATATTTATCTCCTTCTGTAAATTAATTATGGGGATGAAATGATGAAAAATGGGAAAAAGAATGGGACCGTTGAAATTGTTATAATTTTTTGAACTGTTAACATCAAACACATATAATAATGGGATGGAATTTAATTATTTTACTGTATCTGTTTGTAGTATGTACTATTGGTCTAGTGTCATGATTCATAAGACAATTGTCATAAATACCTATATATAAATATAAATAAATAAAAAGAGTAATAGAACAGAGAACAATAGAGAGAATATTCATTATTATGGGTCTCTCAGCTCATTTTTTTGTTTACTAAAAAATTTAATATTTTTTTTTGGGGGGGGGGGGAGACACAGTAGAAGAAAGCTCATCATCAAGTTCAATAAGAAGAAGAGGAAGAAGAAGACAAGACAGTGGTGAAGAAGATTACCATCTTCATGACAACTTGTCTTTACTCTCTTCCTCAAGGAATGATTGTCTTTTGGGTTTTCACTCTTTTCCTCCTCTTTCTTCACATTCTCCTCTTCTTCTTAGGTATTTTTCTTTTATTATTTATTTATTGTATTCTGACAAGTTTCTTTTAATTTCAATTTTCAGTAATATGCTTTTTGTTTGTCTGTATTTGACTTGTCCTTATTTGTTGTTACTTTGGTGGTGGCAGAGGAGGAGGAGGAGGAAGAAGTAAAGAGCTGCAGCAGACTTCTGCAGAGTCTGGTGGTTATGATGATGATGATGACTTTCTTCACATCATCAACATGAACACGACTATCCATACGACGACGTTCCCATCACATCACCTCCCCTCCTCCAAGGTAAACTTCTTTCTTCCTTTTTGTCAACAGTTTTGTAATGGTCAATGCCATACCTATATCTACTCCGGTTTAAAGTCCTAACCGGTCTGATTCAGACTGTTCAATTCCAAACCGAATTTAGTCCGGTTTAAGTTTCATAACCGGTCTGATCTCATCATATTAGCCTTATTTAGGATTTGTTTTTAGTACTTAACCGGTTTGGTTGAAACTGGGGTAACTACAAACCGATTCTAGTTCGGTTTAGTAACTGATTTTGGTCTTTTGCTTCTTTAGAAAACAGAGGAGTGGCGGGAACAAGAACAAGAACAGGAAGAAGAAGAAGAGGATTTGTCGTTGTCTCTGTCGTTGAATCATCATCATCATCACTGGAGAAGCAACGGATCATCTTTGAGCGAGACGAGTGAAGCAGCTGTCTCAACTTGTTCTGCACCGTTCGTCTCCAAAGATTGCTTTGCTTCTTCTTCAAAGATTGATGATCTTAATCTTAATCTCTCCATTTCTCTCCTCGGTAGCTAATTTTAAAAGTAAGCAAGAAGATCTCTGTTCTTTAGATTAGGGTTCAGTGAAACTATTCGGATGTGTTTTTTTTTGAAACTAGGATTTTTTTTTTAAATGTTTTCCGAGATTCAAAGTTAGTAGAAATCTTGAAAATAAATTATGAATTCAGAACCGAGAATGTAACAAACAGAGCCAAACGCAGCGTTTTGATCTTTGAACGGATAAATCCTTAAACGCAGCGTTTTATTATCAAGATCCTACGGTGTAGAGTGTTTCTTGTTTTCTTGTCAGCAATCCTACGGTAGAGAAAATATAATTTCAAAAACTATAAAACGCAGCGTTTAATCTTTGGAAGATGACTCCTTTAAACGCAGCGTTTTGGTTTCTGGAGGACGAATCCTTTAAACGCAGTGTTTTATTATCGAAGATCTTACGGTGGAGATAATCTTGTTTCATCAATCGTACGGTAGAGATAATTTCGAAGAATATATCATTTTATTTTGAATTAAAGTTGTAACCGTTTCTCTCTACACCAAATTGTAGAAACGAAAAAGAAATAGGAATTCAAAAAAAAAAGAAAAAAATAAATAAATTGAAACAACCTTTATAACCGCCTCGATGATGACCAACGTCGTCAGCATCGGCGATGATGAATCTATCGAATCGTTTTGGCTCCAAGTCCAAGTCGGAGAGAACCAACGATTCTTCTTCCTCCGACGAGAATCGTTCTTCCCCCGTCGCCGCCGCAACTCCCGTCGCAATGCCACCGTGCTCCGTCGCCAATAGTACCCGAACCATTCTTTTGCTTCTCGTCGTGTTCTCTGGCTTAGTCGTCTACAGAAACTCTGGTTCACTCAACATCGTCCATGGCTCTTCCTCCTCGGCCATCTCTCGCACTTTTCCTTCTTTCAATGATTCTTCCCCGGCTCCGGCTCCGGTGAGTGTTCTTCCCACATTGTTTCTATATTTGGTGTTCGGTGTTCGATCTTCGCCGTAACTAGAGTTCGATTTAGGGATTTGAGTTTGGTTCTTCCATGATATTGGAATCGATTTTGTGATGATTCCGTAGAATAGATTCTGGAATCGTGTTATTCGAGTGTTTCTTGCATTGTTACGGCTCCACATTCTGAAATCGTGTTCTTGTTTCTGATTCTTGAGTCGAGTGTTTTGAGTTTGATTTCCTAATTTTACAAGTTCTTCTTGATGTTACTTTGTTCTGCATTCTAATTCTGGTTCAAGTTTATCTTGATTTGACTCTGTTCTGTATTCTGATTCTGGTTTTGGTTTATTAGGAAGAAGTTGAGGAACCTAAGCTACAAGATGTGCTGCGTAGAGCTGCAACTAAGGATGGTACTGTGATTTTGACAACTCTGAATGAAGCTTGGGCAGCTCCAGGATCCGTGATCGATCTCTTCTTTGAGAGTTTCAGAATTGGTCAAGGAACAAGGAAGCTTTTGAAACACTTGGTGATCATTGCTTTGGATGCTAAAGCCTATTCACGTTGCAAAGAAATGCATAAGCATTGTTTCAGACTTGAAACAGAAGGTATTGATTTCTCTGGCGGCGAGGCTTATTTCATGACTCCTTCTTACTTGAAAATGATGTGGAGAAGAATCGAGTTCCTTCGGACTGTTCTTGAGATGGGTTACAACTTTGTTTTCACGGTATGTTTCTTGGCAACTGAGAAAAGAAACTACTTTGTGTTGGTTGTTCTATTGAGTGATTCATTCATTGTCTTCTTCTTCTTTTTTTGTGTTTCCAGGATGCTGATGTGATGTGGTTCAGGAACCCTTTTCCGCGGTTTTACAAAGATGGTGATTTCCAGATTGCTTGTGACCATTACATAGGAAGGCCAGACGATCTGAGGAACAGACCAAATGGGGGATTTAACTTTGTGAGATCAAATAACCGAACTATACGTTTCTACAAGTTCTGGTATGATTCACGGATCAAGTACCCCAAAAATCACGACCAGGATGTTTTGAACTTCATCAAGGCAGATCCTTTCATGTGGAGAATTGGGGTTAGGATTAAGTTCTTGAACACAGCTTATTTTGGTGGATTCTGTGAACCAAGCAAAGATTTGAACCTTGTTTGTACAATGCATGCGAATTGCTGCTTCGGCTTGGAGAGTAAGCTTCATGATCTTAGAATCATGCTTCAGGACTGGAGAGATTTCGTGTCTTTACCAGTTCATCGTAACCATTTCTCTGGTTTCACCTGGAACGTCCCACAGAATTGCAGGTTTCAAATCTAAATCTTTCTTCTTTTGTCGTCATTTTGTTTTTTGCTATATTTGAGATTGTTAAAGTGGATCAGTAAAACATTGTTTCTTGTTTCTGCAGTCTTGATTCACTTCGGCAATTTGATTCTAAGGATGGGAAGAGCAAACCACCAAAAGAATCTCACCTGTGAAGTGTGTGTGTTACAAAATGTAAATAGAGAAACTCTGTTTTGAGATATATTTTCATAGGAAGAAATAGAAATATAGAAAGATTGTAAAGTCATATCAATCATTCTTAAAGAGAAAATATATACATAACACGAACGACGATGAATGGCTTATCCTTCATCATTGTACCAAAGACCCCTGTTTTCGTCTAAAATGTATATAACGACATCAGCTGAAGTTTAGTGAAATTACAAAGATGATTTTTTCATTTCTTTACCCAGACAAAAAATTATTCATATGTAAATCTTTAAAGTCCAACCATAAGGGCATATGGCTATAGCCTCATATAAATTAAGGATCTGTGGCAATACTTGGGAAATTTTGCTACGAAGTAGCACAGTTTATATACAATGATGGGTTGTCACGAACAGCCATTAATTATTACAAAAATTTACCACACAAGTCCACTACATATTGTAACGTACCTTAAAATAAAGGGATATCGAATGAATTTTTACGTACCTTTTCTTACCAAGAGTTTCAAACATTGCCATCATAGTATCCGTGAAATAATTTCCACATTCTATAATTGTCTTGCTAAATTCTTCACAAAAGTGTCACGGATTGCTATAAGAAAAAAAAATACAATTGCCACGAATTAAAAGATGTATATTTCTTTATTAAAAAATGTTTAAAACTTACTATTATTTTGAAGTAATTAAACATCAAACTTATATAGAAAAACAAAATTATTGAAATTTGGAAAAAAGTAAACACACACAAGAAAAGAAAAGATATAACATCATCTATATGATCTAGATTCTCGGAAAGCCCCATGTTGTCTAGGTGAGTCTATCTGGGAGGTTGATCGAGGTGTGTGTGTGCGTTGGGCTGAGCGGTGCTGGATGTAGATTCCTTGGATTGTGATAGAAAGGGTAAATATGAACCATATTATATGATTTATGCCATTAAGGCATTAATCATATATAGCACTTTTGTGGTTCGTTGCAGACTGGTCATTGTGTTTTGTAGAAAGAAGCTATTGGTTGGCTTATTTGATTTGAGTTAATGGTTTTGGTAATTGGATCGAGTGGAGACCATATATATGCTTTTTGATATCCATAAGGTCCATAGAAATATTAATTTTGTTCATGATCATTTAGCATAAATTTCTTCAAACATAGGTGATTAGGAACAATATAGGCATTAGGCACCATAAACAGGCCCAACAAATCTCCTTGTCCCATCTAAGACATGTGAATAGGAGCAAAAGACAAAGATATATATATATATGTCTACAAACTCATATTAATTCGTATCAAATATGTGGATCGTTTTTGTGTGTGTGAATCTTGATCAACAATAATGTTTTGGATTTGGCTCAATATACAATTTATTTTTACCACAAATTGTCACATATACTTGCGGTAAAAAATAAATATTTTCAAAAAGATTTAGGTGTCGAATGTCGAGTTTATTAGAGTGCACAAGAAGCCCAAACCCAATGTGATGTTATGTAAATATGGTTCCTAACAAGATGAATTTCTTATATATCTTTATGTAATGAGAATTTAGGGTGTACCTTTGAGAGTTGTCTCAAAACAACTCTCCCTCTTCAATCTTATGAAATATCATTTTTGAATCATTGTGTTATTGGTGACAAATTCAAGTTCTTTCTTTTTATCTTTTAGTTTTGTATTTGAATGAAACTCTTCATGAGCTATCTAATATCTAAGTTTAATCAATCTTAATAAGCTTATTTGAGCATAAATCATCTTGCTTTGGATTTGTTCACAGAGTTATGTGTTAAGGTTATGAACTACTGGACTATTCGGTTGGCAGCTTTACATGTGTTAACTCTTTTCGCTAATGCTTGTTAGGATCAAGAATAAATTTGATTAGTTTTTGTATAGAGATTTGGTATATATAGTTCTCTATATTCTGAAGAATCTCATAGACTTTGTGAATATATACACGAACTCCTCAAAGGTGATATTATTCAAACTAGTCTCCATGTATTGTTTTCATTGTTGTTATATAATCACTTCTACTCTCACTAAGCTATCTTGTTACAGTTATGACTGGTATAACCTCAGACGCTTCCACACTTATTGTCTTGATTCGATCCTAATAAGTGATATCACTTTTTTATGCTTTGATCAACCATGTTCATGGGCCTCCATACACCCATAACCCATTCTTTGTATGTGGGATTTCTTAAGTGGTCGAATAATTTGTCGACTAGTTATGTTGTTAGGCATATCACAAAAAAATAAAATATGTATATATATATATATGTGTGTGTATTTTCATAAACATGATATTGATAATCAATTGATAATCGCTTCCTAATGAACATTCATTCTATATTTTTTCAACTCAAATACTGTAATGTAAAAATTATGATATAAAATGTTAGATTTTTTTTTTTTTGGGGCAAATTTTTCATGGCTATCATGTTCTTATATATAGAGGAAAACATATGTACCTCTTTCATCGTTTGGTTTAATTGTTTAATTAACCACGTAAGACGTACTAATCAAACATATTTTCATATTTCAGATACAAGCTAACTTTTTGGAGCAAAAAAACTCAAACTACTATTGTAACGTTCGTGACAGTGAGTCAGTGACATTAATCTGTTTAATATAAGTATACAAAATTTATAGCCTTCTCATAACGTACACTTGGATAAATATTTTCTTAATTGTATTTAAAATAGATATGGAATATTTATAGCCTCTTCATGACTTGGACAAATATTCTCTTAATTGTATTCACGATATCTATGAAAGATTTATGGCTTCGCCATGATATACACGCGGACCAGTATTATTTATAGGTAATAACAACTTTCAATAGTGACCACATATATACATATAAAGTTCTATTTTTTTTTATAGATTGACTTGAAAAAACTGCATATATATTTGTTAATTATCATTAAATCCTTAGCTTTTTTTTTGCCAAAAAAAAAAAGCTAAGGATTTAATGATTAAAAAGAAGCTAAGGATTTAATGATTTTTGCTTTATTTTACAACCACAAGAGTTTAAACATAAAAACATAAATCCCTTATTAACATAATGTTTGTTTCTACCAGGTTGAAGTATTTATTAGTTTTTTTTTGTATATATTAGTTAGTTTTCATGAAAAACATTTCTTCCCTTTTTGAAAATATCTGCCAATTAGCATCGAAGCAATTGGACAATTATAATTAATTTTGATTTTCTGTGGTTAACAAAAATCTTGACATCTTATGCATATATTATCATCTAATAGTTACCTGATAATGATTGCATTTTAAAGTTTACTACATTGTCTCATGTCTCTCTAAACTATACAACAAAGTCTCGGATTATGTCATCTTCTTCAAAGTTGGCTTGTTCTTTCTCCATTTTATGTTGGGAGCACCTGAATTGATCTTCTACTCTCTTGAAAAAGCTAGCATAAGTTTGTAGTAGAGTAGCCGTAGATGTAACTTGTACTCCTCTAAATCTTATCAAACAAATCTTTATACATAAATTTTATTCGATCGATCAATTAAACATTCAAACCTAAAAACATACCATAGGAAAACTATCCACTAGAACTGATATTAACACAAAATATACATGAATAAAACTAAGAGTTAAGTATATAAACCAAATTGATTGATTTAGAGCAAATTTGAGGGACCTATTTCATTTTCATGTCCTCACTTGTGGAGGTTAAAATGGTAAATATGAAAAAAACCAATAATTAATTAGTTTTTAAGTAGTTTTAATATGTAAATGGTAGTTTACTCTTGCAAGTTAGTCAATAATTTGAAAACTTTGAAAGACTAATTAAAGAAGTTAATGATCTTGCAAACTGCATTAGCTCGCCTTGAATTTACTCTAAACCCATTTATGTCTATGATTACTAAGTGTGTATCTCTATATATTAATATGGCCCTCTATTGCATTCTGAGAGGTAATTAATTAAGAAACTGATATGAACATTTTAAAAATTGACCTCAAAACTCGAAGAGCTAAAAGAGGTGAAAGTTCTTTTTCATATCTTTAATTTATTTTAATACTATTTATTACTGTTGATTTGATAGAAATTTCTATTCGAATATGTATGTGAGAGGAAAGGATATGGTTCAAGTGTCATTGTTATCGGGAATGGCAATTATATTCCTTTTTTCCTCAAATTTTTTAGCTTAAGAGAAAAACTAATTATGCATATAATAACAATCACATCGTATTTTGTTTTATATTATTATCTCATGGTTATTTACTAAACAAGTTTAATACATAACTCACGCTCACGTTAACAAAGACCCTTACAGAAATGGGTTGGTTTAATTGATCTCTTTCATTGGAGATCATGCATGACTTATATTTTTCAAAAGTCCACTAAAACGATATATATAAGCTAGTTTTCTTTTTTTATATACTTAAATTGAATGAATAAAAGATGTGATGGATCTACATTTTGGGGAATTATACAGTGGAATTTTATTTTATAGATAATTGTTTGAATATGGGAAGAGACGACGAAATATAGTTAAAAAATTGAGTATCCTTTTTGGTTTTTACTTTACCACATACATGAAAAAAATATACAATCATTCTTCTTTTTGTCTCCTTTTATCTTTGGAATATTTCTTTTCACATTCAATCTTCCATGACACACAGACAGACATACATACATACATACAGTATGTATGTTTTTGATATGATAGGAACTTTTTAAAACCAAAAAAACGAGACCCATATGAGATGATGATGACGATTGTGACTAATAATTGTATTCTCTTAACTATTTAAGAAAAACATTTGATGCTTTGTGGATTAACTTTTGACAATTCAAGAAATCTGTCTCTATATATATACACATATATATGAACATAAATTTCAAAAAAAAAAAAACTTATGAGATAATTATCGAATTAAAAATATCACATCAATGTTAGTTTAATACTAAATTTCTATTGCCATGCTTTTATTTTACTTTTTGGAGACATAAAATAGACTTTCAAAATATTATATTAACTAGTTTTATAACCGTTAATTTATGAATTTCGAACTCAAATAACATATTTTTGACATATGGTATGGTCGAACGTTATAAATTAGTTAAAATCTCACGTAGGCACAAATTTGAAATTCCAAACAAAAAGAACATTTTTCAGTTACTTAAGATATATAAAGCCAAAATTATAATTT